TACTTCTCAGTAGACCAGCGAGAATCACTACATAAAAATCTACGGGATAAGAACATGGGGGAGAATCCATAGAGCTAAACATCTTGGTTATATCAAAATTTGACTCTACAGGTATAGCACGAGTCCATCACTCATACTAAAATTTGGAAAGTTAACCATATACGCCACCCGATTACAGAGATGCATGCTAAGAGGATCTATGAAAGAACTATACCTGCATGGTGAACTTTAAATAGTTATTAATAGCATAAAGAAATGCTGGAACAGCAAGAAGCGCATTATTCCGAGCTGCCTGCAAAGAAAAAACACAAATATTGTTGGATCATAAATGACCATGTTTGCCTTTTAAACGTATAAACTCCAAAATAAGAGCACGCTTATCTTATGAGCTAAGCAATATAAGTCAAACATGGATGCCAAGAAATTAGTTAATGAAGAAAACAGACTGGAGCAGACACAGTGTCCTACTACAGACCATGCAGAACAAACTAATGGAGTGCCCAAATTCCATTTATTACGATATCACGAACAGATAGACATTATAAAAACAAGAGCTTAAAGAAATTAACGATTGTAATGCAGTTAAAAGACAACCTGCGTGAATGTGGAAATTGAGAGAAGAGGCTTCTCACCAACTTTCTGATTCCTAGCCTGCAGAATCAACAAAGATGTCAATAAGAAAAAGAAACAAAAGAAAAGTATGCCCATCAAGAAATATATCACAAGTACTTTACGAAATTCCACTTATATAATCTAGAATGTGAGAGCTAGTACCAACTATCAGATATCCTCTCCCTCCATACCCCTCGATTTTAAACTTGCAAAAAACACACAAGCAAGTTTGTCCCTTGGGCATAATTAATTCCACGTTCTTCAAAAGGTGAAAGCTCCTAAGTTCTCACCCAAGCATAAAAAGGGCACTCACCCAAGTGAAGGTGCCTTGCATGGCACTAAGGTATTTACTAGCCTCATCTCAGAACCTCGGCATACAACACAGAAGTTGATGCCAATGACAAGATTTTAAATTTTGTGTAAACTTCATATGGCACCTTATTCCAGGTTAACCAGAATTCTTACAATGTGCTGGAACTTAACAGCACCAAGGAATAACAATAACTCAATCTTATCTTCCTTCTCTTAATAAATATTAAATTTTATTAATTTACCTCATATATCTCCTAAGAAAAGTGGAAAATCAAAAGGTCTTGAATATTTTCGTGCACATTTAAGTAAGGGAGAGAACAAAGTCGTTGACATACCTGCAACAATAGCATAACGACAGCAAATAGAACCTTTGCAGCCTCTGTCAAAAAGTTTACACTAATTGGGCTAAACTCGAATTTTCCATCAACCTTGGACATATAAACCAGAATAGGCTGATTCAAAAGTAAAAATGTAAGCATGTCAGGTAATGATGAAATTGGAATGAAGAACTGCCCAAAAACTTTATAGCAACGGCTTGCAGGTTCATTCATAAACTCAAATCAAGTTTTCACAAGCAAGAATACATTTCCTAAAGGACTTATCAACTTGATTTCAATTTTAATATGCTTCCAAACAACGGTAATCATCTTCATAGTCCAAAACAAGCAAATTAAACTGACATGTTGAATCAGGAGATCAAATTCAACAAAATTACTGGAGCCATTAATGTAACGGAGATGAAAAAAAGATAGATGGAAATGTAATCAATAGTACTATCATGGCAAGCTATGGGAATGACGATGGTTATGGCAGTGTTCATGCTAGTTTGAGAATTGGTAGAAGAATACTGTAGACATCGGTAGCAGCCTTAGTAATTGAGAAAACATGCTCAAACATGTTCAATCATGCAGAAATATCAAATATATGTTTTAAAAATTCCAGATTTCACATATCATTCTTATAAGCATAAAATCATGTACCAGAACATACAGCTACGAGCTACCATGTACTAAACTTCTATACTTGAATTTGAGTATATCTCCTTGTAACCAATCATTTGATTTCCATGAAAGATGAGAAAAATAAGTCCAAATATGAAAACAAACCTGTAAACCGACAAGCATACAATCACCAACGACCAAGAGGACATTGAGAACACGTTGCTTGGACGACACCCTGCTCTTGTGGCGGTCATAGGCCCTGGAGAAAGTTTTACTGTTCGGGGCAACAATCTTTGAATGGCATACACTACATTCTATCATCCCGTTATTCATCAGTTTGCCCCGCCCTCAGTCACACTCTACACAACAAGCAAAATCTACAAAAAAGAAACCAAAAAAATCCAGAATTTAACACAAACATCCCATAATCACATGCCCTCTTAAACACTAATAAGCATTCTTGGTGAAATATTAATCTTATCATAACCATTCATAACGAGCTACACGCGAAAAGATAAAACTCTCAAAATGCATACTTCAGAGTTCAGGCCTACCAAATCAACAAGCCTTCCAGTCCCCAATAAGACCATATTATTAATCCATTTTTATAATCTATCTTTCATTTCTTTATCCTATCCTACACTTTCTTTGCAGCCAAACAGAAGGCAAATGGCAGCTCAATCCGATCAAACACCTCAACAAACTCATCCACCACTCACAAATCAGCATAATTCAACCAGATCTTGCCTTTAGAACAACCAGAACCATACACAAACCTCAAAACCAGCTTAGATCCTCACAGAAACCCTAAATCGAATCAAATAAAACCAGAAACAATACAAACGCAGACAGACCCCAGATCTTGCTGAACTCTCAACCAAAAATTGAGCTCCAATAAAACGGAAAAATTCAAGCGTTACTAACCGGATTGCAGCAACGAACAGACCTAAACCGCCTCCGAACAAAGCATTGATCTGAGGCTTCGATTGGGTCAGATCCACAGTCGCGGCAGCACAGCAAATTCCCACCACTCTCAGAATCTGATCAAAATATATAGAAATCTTGGGAATTTGACGAGAATTCGAATTCCGGAACCTTCCTTTTCGTGCTTCGATGGGAATCCGAATTTCCCAAAGATGCCAGGAATATGCAACGCACACAGAAGAGAAGATGAATTCTGCGGGGAATGTTTGGAAAGAAAGAGCGAGCTCGTTTAACTTTCTCGTCCCAATGTGGAAATGTATCTTTTTAATTAATTAATTAAATTTATTTTTGTTTATTTTCTAAATTTATTTATTTAATTTATTTTTGTTTATTTTATTGCTTTGAGAGTACACAAACACGGAACTTGTGCGCTGGGGGCTGTCACCGACCGACGCCAAGCCCATGGTGACGGACCAATCAGATGCCGGGGTTGGGTGGGGATTTTAGGAATTCTGTGATCGAGATCGTTTATCTTACATCATGCGGTCAGAAATCATTTTAAAATTTAAAATTAAATGTAAATGGTAACTAACGAAAACTAATCGCACGATGTACAAGGAACGATCGCGATCACCCTAGAAAAAATGATCATTTTCAGGAAATATGGGAAGTGAAAAGTGGGTGACGAATTGAGATGGGTAAGCGGATCAATGCTCGTGAGTTAATATTTTGTTTTGGTATATTTTTTTTTCGGGTTGGATGTTTCTTTCCCTTCAATTTGTTGTACTTTTAAAGTAAGCTTTGTTCGCATCATTATTATTTATTTCATGTGAGAAAAATCGAAAGAGACAAAAGAATAGAGATTTTGAGCTTTGATTTGGTTTGATTTGATTGTGGTCAAAGTAGGTAAGAGTGAAGGGTTGAAAGCTATGTGAATTAATTTCAAGTTTGGTAAGTAAATTCAGTTCAATTTCCAACACCTTAATCAAAAGAGGTAGTTGTCAATTCCTCACCAAAACTAGCATAGAACGGTTCATTTTCGTCCTGAATTTTATTTGTAGTTAATTACACATTCTAACTTTTATAATTGATCAATTTCACCCCAAGCGTTTAGGTTTTGAAAATTTTCATCTACCTTGATCATGTGCACGGCACATTCTAGAGGGCAAAAAAGTAACTATATCCCTAATATGGACAACCTATTATATATTTTTTTTCTTCTCTTCTGCTAGTTTACTCCATACACTTTTCGTTTGAATTTTATCTCTAACGCTGACGTCTAAGAATCTTCTTCACGGTCCTGCTTTTTCACCACATTGATGGGAGTGTGATGCCATTGCTTTTTCACCAACATGTTGGGGTTGTGATTTCATTTCATTAGCCTTCTTTGTCATTTGATTCACATAACTATTTCGATTCACCGATTTCAATTCAAGACTCAAATTTGAATTTACTATAAACTGGCCAATTATAAACATTCAAGGGGGTAAGGCTAAAATTAAAGTTCAGAGAGAAATTAGCCAATTATAGCAATTCAAGGGATAATCGATTAAAAGTAAAGTTCAGGCAAAAATTTGATAGCTCCTTACAAGTTCGGGGAGAAATCGGCGAATATCTTGGTTATAACTATAGTTTTTAATTATAACTAAGTAGTTCATTCCTCCGGGATCCCAAGCAACCTCTTTTATGGGTGCATCATGTATGTAACGGTCACTGGTTGGTTAGCAGCCAAAGGCCACTCTTAACTTGCTTGTCACAACCACCAGAGAACACAGTAGATGCATCATCCTTCTAAGTTGAGCACAAAACCTATATAGATAGACATATATCCTTCGCAGTTATATCACAAAATTACAAAGTCCTAATTTTTAAAGAAAAATCAAAGTCTTCCAAAAGAGAGAGGGAGAAACGAAGAAACAAAAGACTAGGCTAATTTCCTATCTACCCTAAAACAAACGGACTCCTTAAAAGCCAAGGAACCATAATATATGTATATAGGACAACTGACTCCTAGAGAGGAAAAGGAGAAAACTAGAGTCTTGAGGATGAAAGTACAAACCAAAACAAGAAGGTTGCTACTGTATTGTATGACACTCCTACGATTTGACGAAATATTGTTCTCAATCAAAATGGTTGAAAACAAACAGTTAACCTTGCATCCAGAACGCTAGACATGAAACGCGTCTCTCTTTCTCAATGGATAAACACGACTGTCAAACAAACGGCAAGGAGAGTTCTTCAACATAACCAGTTTGATACAAAAGCTTAAAAACGAAAAAAGCAAAACATAATATAGCCAGTTTTGATACCAAATACTCAAACTAAATGTTCAACACTATCAAACATATATCAGCTAATTTGATGCCAGATAAATCTTACTCGACTACTGGCTTACTGTCACAGGCTTCCTTTGCTTCAAGCGCATCAGGACAATAACGTTTCGACAAAATTTCAACTTGTTCTGCAAATGACTTCATCGCATACTGACCAATGTGTCTGACCATTTGATTCCATCGCTTTTTACATACATCTCCAGACCTATGCTCAAGCAGATCATCCCAATCAACTTCTTCCATGCAACAAGCATCCAAGCTGTCAAGTGCATAAACTAGGCGGTAGTCATCAACATCAGCCCACTGACCATCAGCTACCAAAGGTGAAGCCAATTGGTTATACCACTTCTGGCAACAAACAGGATTGGTTCTGGTGCCCAAAGTCTCACTGATTGCCTCCCACTTAATATTATCTCGCAGCATCCCATGCTTGGAATATTTTTTTTCTTCCATCGCCCGCATCCGCAGATCCTTGTTCACTAAATCAAACAAAGTCTGGTACTCCTCTTGGGACCACACTCCTGTCTTCATGTTTTGCAGTTTTATTCTACGCCATGCATCCTTGACATGAATTCTATGTTTGCCAAGTTCATTACCCACCTTTCTCCAGTTGGGTTTGGCTTCACCTTTCTCCTTGGCTTCGATAGCGGCACGTCTGACTTTTTCATACTCTTCCTTGGTCCAAGTACGTTCTGAAGCTCGTTCTAATAACATATGGGCTCGATAATATATGCTTTTCTTATCCCTCCAGGGTAAGGTTTCCCCAATATCCTTCCAACAATTTCTGATTTCAGGGTAATTCTTACAATTGAGTACCATGTCAATGCCTTCGTCACCCAGCTGATGTTCCTCTATGTATGTTAAAACAGCCTTTTTCACAAGCTCGTCTTCTTCTGCTGAAAACCGCTTACCTCGTACCTTGCCCACTTCTGCATCTTTTGAGCCATCAGACAGTGAAAAGACCTCAATATCATCAGCAAAATGTACTCTTTTTGATGTTTCTTTATGTGCAGAATTTTTATCCTCTGTATTTCTGTTGCATATCTCGTCTCCAGTTCCATGAACATTACTATCGTTCTCTAAGGAATTATTTTCTTGAGTTCCACTTACGCTTCCCAATTTCTCACCTCCAGTTTCCTGCATTTCACTTCTTGAATTCTTACTGTTCTTTGTTTTCTCTTTTCTCATGATTCCACCCTTCTCCATGACTTGCCCTTCTGAATGCTTACCTTCTACTCCAGCCTCCTTTCCATCAGTTACAATGTTCTGTACCGATTCACCACCCACCTGTTCTGTCTTCTCTTTCTTCTTTTTCTTTTTCTTTTTATTCACTTCTTTTTTGTTCATTTCAGCATCACTCATTTCGTCATCCTCAGATAGTTTCTTTCTCTTCTTTTTGTTATCTGCAATGTCAGCTTCTTCCATGATTTTCCCATTGGATTTCTCTCCATCATTTCCGAGCAGCTGTTCGTCACTCTGGTTCGACTTCAATTCACTATTGACCCCTTCTGTTTCCTTCTTCCTTTTCTTTTTCTTTTTGGCCCCTTCTCCACTTTCTCTATCAGTTCCACCATTGCCTTCCCCACTTTCCTTATCAGTTCCTACATTCTTGTCAAATTCATTGGATTTCTCTTTATCATTTCCGAGCTGCTGTACATCATTCTGCTTCGACTTCAATCCACCGTCGACCCCCTCCATTTCCCACTTCTTTTTCTTTTTCTTTTTGACCCCTTCTCCACTTTCACCATTCTTGTCAAATTTCTCCACCTGAACTGCCTCACTTATTTTGTCCTCGGAGCCTTCAATCAAAGTGGAATTTCTACCTGGTTCATCTGTCTTCCTTTTCTCCTTCAACTTTTTCTTCTCTTTCCTTGCTTCAAACTCCAAATCTGTAGTCTTTTCCTTTCCCATGTATTTCTTTTGGCCTTGAACAACAAAACAAAACGGGAAGAAAAAAGAAAAAAAAAATTCAGACAAACAACAACAGCAGCAAAAGCCTTATCCCACTAAGTGGGGTCACTAATGAATCCTAGAACGCCATTGCGCTTGTTTTGCATCAAGTGTTCCGTTAGCTCTAAGTATTCCAGGAAAAAAGGGGTCATGGAATTTCCGGAAACACACATGCAATGACATTACAGTAACATCCAGACACACATGTATATGCAAACGCTATACAATCCACAATTTGAAACTCACTTAATCACACTATAATACTAACTAGTCAATGATGACTGGAACTGGAAGAACTGATGACTGCAACCAAACAAACAAACAATCAGAAAACCCTAAATACAAAGTAAACCACAACGGTTTGTAAGTAAGACAACCACAACAGAAATCCAATTCCTTTGAAAAGGATAACAAAACAAAACCCCAAATTATTCTAGGGTCAGAAACATAAAACAGAAAAATTGAGTTTACAAAATTGAGAAACGAAACCCTAATGGCAGAAAAACCCTAGATAAACAAGCACACCCACAATGTGATTCAGAAGAAGAAGGACAAGAAAACCCTAATAGATAAATAAATAAAAAGATAAATAAATAAATAACCATGAATGATTGAGTAGGTTGGATGTTTACCTTGTTTTCTTCTCCTCGAATCAAATTCAATCCTCTGTGTGTCTGTGGCTCCAAGGTAGCTGCTTTTGCTTGTTGCTTATGGAGTTATGGAGGTGTTAATACGGCCGGAATCGATGGGACGATGCGGACGGAGGAGGAGCAGACTTGTTAGTGACGCTGACAAGAGACAGAAACCAACCGGAAGGAAGGAATCTCGCTAAATGTCAATTGACGGCAGTGATCCTTTTTTTTTTTATACCTTTATTTTAACAAAAAAAATACATTTTTACTGACAAAACAAGTGCCACTGGAAATTGATTGACCAAACTCAAAAGAAAAGTAGACAAGAATATGGTGCTAATCAATTCTTTCTCTCCGTGGTGTGAGAGTGCTTGCTCCTTTGTGAGATTCGCCTTCGTGCGTGGGGATTACAGGTTTGTCTTGTTTGCGAGATCTGCGATTGTCTTGGTTTCTGCTCTTGTACTCCTATTTATGACGGTTGTTGGCTTACTGCGAGAGGGGAGAGTTGTTGGGTTGAGAGGATCGAGGTAGGACGACGGTAAGGGGGTGGGTTTTGTCTAATCAGGTTGTTCTTCGTTGAGGGTTGGTGGGGTTGTTGTGTTGACCTGGTGGGGGATGATAATTCGTCCAATTTGGGTTGTGTGGGTAGGGTTAGGGTGAAGGTTTGAATTTGGGGTTTCTCAAAGCTGGTGAAGGTTCAATTTTGGTCTTCGTTGAGGGTTGTTGGGGTCGTTGTGCTGACCTGGTGGGGGATGCTAATTTCGTCCAATTGGGGTTTGTGTGGGCAGGGTTTGTGTGGGTAGGGGTAGGGTGAGGGTTCAATTTGTGGGGATGTCGGTGATTCTGGCAGGGGGCATTAACTTCAATTAATTAGGTTGGGGGTGGGGCAAGTGGAGTCTGGTAGGAGTGATTGGTGGGTGGGGAGTAATGGGGAAACTGCCAAGGGGTCGAATTGATCTTAAATGTGATATCGACTGGCTCCTCGCAGCTGTGCAGTTTGGTGGCCTTTCCCAACTAGTCTGGCATAACAGAGTTCATTATGGGCGACTGTTAACATTTATGAGGATATTATTGATGTGCTGCTTACTCGGCCGAGTTAACAAAAGGGTTCAGAAGGCAAACCGAGTGGGATATATGTGCTTTCTGAGGAAGTGCGCAGAAATTAAAGGGTACCCTGCGATTCAGACTGGGCGAGTTCGAAAGTTGGCTTCCAACCGAATGGCGAATAGGGGGGTGGATGAGCTAGTAGTTCAACTGAATCAGACGCTGGAGTTATCGTCTATGGAGCAGGGAATCAAATTGGTTGGGAAAGTTCTCACGCAGAAACCAGTGAATAAATGGGGAGTCAGGAATATTCTTAGAGCAGCTTGGCAAGAATTGGGTGAGGTTGAAATAAAATAGGTAAGGGAGAATGTCTTTGTCATATCGGCCAAAGATGAAAGTGTAGCTACCAAAATCATTGAGCAGGTATCATGGGCAGTGATGAAAAAGGTATTCTCTGTAGTGAAGTGGCCGCCAGAGCTCGCTCTAGAGGAACTGGAACTGGATGCCGTTCCATTTTGGGTTCAAATCAGGGGAATTCCTCTGGGCCTAGCCTCCGTAGATAACATCCAGCGATTAACAAAAGAGGCTGGAAAGTTTTTAGCCATGGAGGATCCCGGCCTTGCTCGAGGATTTCTGCGGGTTCGAATCCTAGTGGATACGGAAAAGCCGTTATTCAAGGGATGTTGGATTCGGAGGGATACTAACAAGGATACCTGGGTTGAATTTCGATATGAACGGCTACAGGATTTCTGCTACCGGTGTGGCCGGATAGGGCATATCAACACTGAGTGCACTGTTGAGGTGACTGGAGAAGGGGCAGTGGCGTATGGAGAGTGGTTAAAGGCGCCTCCGGTCAGGGATGTGGTTGCAGTTACGAGAGTGGAATGCGTGGGAAGGGGAGAACGCCGGCATGCAGGTGCGGTGCGCAGATCGGGCAACGCGGTTATTCAGAATCAAGGCTGCTTACGGAAGTCGATTGTGCATGGACAGGAAAGTACACAAACTGTTGAGTCGAGGGGAACACCAACGATTCAGAGCACAGGTCCGAAGAAGTGGCGGAGAAGGAAGCGGGTAGAGGGTGAGGATTCGTCGTCCAGCTCTAGTATGGAACGCACAAAACCAAGGGGGGAAGGGCAGTCGGGAAATAATCAGGGGGTCAATGAAGCTTTGTCGGCTCAGGGTGATGACCCATTGTGGGGGATCAAAAGGGGGGTGGAATCGCATGAGCTATTTTTAACTCCAGTCTCACAGAAGAAACCTAGAGGCCCGGATATGGAGGAGAAAGGCCAAGGCAGGGTGGCGGAACTAGGGAGAAGCATAATCTCAAAGGAAGGGAGTCTAATGATGGAATGTGCGGTAAGTACTTCGGGTGCAAATAAGGAAGGAATAAGTGAGCACCAGGAGAGAAATGAGTTATCGGATGGGGGGTCGGATACTGCCAGTGGGAGGAGGGTGGCAGGGAAGGCGGGCATGACAGCTCGGGGCGGTGGCGGCTGGCCTTCAACAGTCGCAGGCCAGCCATGAGTTATATCTTCCGGAACTGTCGTGGGCTAGGGTCGGACACGACAGTCAGGGCTCTTCATGGGCTAATTCGCAATAGGAGACCCTCTATGATTTTTTTATCTGAGACTAAGATGAAAGATCATAGAATTTGTGGAGTGAGGAAGCGTTTAGGCTACTCAAATGGTTTCGATGTTTCGCCAAATGGAAGATCTGGAGGTCTGAGTCTGTGGTGGGAGGACAACCTGGAGGTTAAGATTATATATTCGTCAAAGTATATTATTGATGCTGTTATGAAAGGTGACGGGCAAACCCATTGGTGTCGGCTTACGGGGGTGTACGGAACCCCGTATAGAAATGAGAAATCTGTGTTCTGGGATTGGATGGGTAAGCACTTTACCCCCACGGATATCCTGTGGATTTGTGGCAGGGATTTTAATGAATATATTTGGGACCATGAGAAGTCTGGCGATGTTAAGGTGTTGTATAATAGGCCCAAGTTCTTAGAAGAGTTCATGTCTTCATCTCAGTTGCTGGATTTGGGCTTTCATGGGTCAGCCTTTACTTGGAGAGGCTTGAGAAGAGGGGATTGGGTGTAGAAGCGCCTTGACCGGGTCCTTGCGAATGAGAGGTGGCAGGAATGCTGGCCGAATTCTCATGTAGTGCATGGAATGGACTTAGCCTCGGATCATAGCCCTATTGTCCTGAACTCGAGTCTTGAGGGGCCGAAATGGAGGAAAATATTCAGGTTTGAGGCTTACTGGGCGGCGGAGGAGGAGTGTAAGGATCTGGTGAAAAGTTGTTGGGAAGGTCGGCAGCTTGGTAGTCCTGTGATTAGATGGGTGAGGAAAATTAAAGAGTGCCGTTCTCGGCTAAGCAGGTGGAACCATTCGAAATTCAAGGGGCGGAGCTACAAAATCCAGGAGCTTCTTTCCCAGTTAGATACACTTCAGCGTGATTGGAGGTCCGAATTATGCCGAGATAAGGGAGAAGGCCCGGCTAGTTGATGAGTTAAGGCTTCAAAAGGAGAGCTACTGGTGCCAGCGGTCAAGAGTTAAATGGCTGAGGGAGAGGGATGCCAACACTAAGTTCTTTCATTCTTCCACCCTTCAGAGGCGTCGAAGAAATAAGGTTGTGAAGCTAAGGAATGAGAATGGAAGCTGGGTAGATCGCCCATCTCAAGTCCGCCAATTGGTGGAAAATCACTTCACCTCTGTTTTTTGCTCAGCCGGGGATCGTGATTGGGGAGACCTGTTGGATTGTTTGACTCCCTCGGTCTCTAGCTAGATGAATGAGGCATTAATTGCGCCTGTGACGGAGGAGGAAATCAAGGAGGCAGCTATGCAAATGGGAGTTTTAAAGGCTCCGGGCCCTGATGGATTCCAGGGGATTTTTTATCATACGTACTAGGAGATTGTGAGGGAAGATATTTTTGCTCTGGTCAGGGACTTGCTTCAGGAGTCAGCGGGTACGGGGCACTTAAATCTGACCCATATTGTGTTGATTCCCAAAGTTCCAAATCCGGAATATGTGTCGCAATTTAGGCCTATCAGCTTGTGCAACTACTCGTACAAAATTCTCTCTAAGATTCTCGCCAACCGGTTGAAGGTCTTATTACCAACAATTATTTCTCCGAGTCAGAATGCTTTTGTGGTGGGCAGACAAATTCAGGACAGCATTGGTATCGCCCATGAGATGTTTCATCTTCTAAAGGGGAGGAAAACAAAGAACAAGTTTGAGATGGGTATTAAGTTGGATATGCAGAAGGCTTATGACCGGGTGGAATGGGATTTTTTGGATGCAGTTATGGAAAGAATGGGGTTCTGTAGCAGATGGAGATCGATTATTAGTGGGTGCTTATCGTCTGTAAAATTCGAGGTGCTCCTAAATGGGCAGGCCGGGGCGCCCTTTGCTCCCTCACGGGGTATCCGTCAGGGAGATCCTCTGTCTCGTTACTTATTTATTCTTGTGGGGGAGGTGTTGTCCAAAATGATTCAAAGTGCGGTTGATCAGGGTCGGTTGGAGGGTGTCAAGATGAGCGGCTCGGGTCCTGTGATTTCTCACCTTTTCTTTGCTGATGATACTCTCCTGTTTCTGTGTGCTGATCAGAAAAACTGCCGTAATCTGAGACATATGGTTGATAGTTTCTGTGTAGCTTCTAGGCAGAAGGTGAATTTAATGAAGTCTAGTGTTTTCTTTGGGGTAAATGTGCCGAAGGGGATCGCTGATCAGATGGGGAGGTCTCTTGGCATGGTTGTGGTTAACAATCCGGGGACCTATTTGGGGGTTCCAGCTATTTGGGGTCGATCGAAGCAGCGTGGTCTTGCTTATGTGAAGGGAAGAATTATGGAAAAGTTACAAGGGTGGAAACAAAGCTCGCTATCCCGTGCCGGTAAAGAGGTTTTAATTAAGGCTGTAATCCAAGCTATTCCGGCGTATCCTATGAGTATCTTCAAATTCCCCAAAGTTGTTTGTAATGAGTTGGATGCGTTGGTGGCTGGATTTTGGTGGGGATGTAAGAAGGGAGCCCATAAGATTCATTGGGTTTCAAAGGTGGTTCTGGGTATTCCTAACGAGTTGGGTGGTTTAGGATTTAGAAACTTTCAGGAATTTAATGATGCTCTGCTTGCTAAGCAGTGCTGGAGATTAATTACTGAACCTGAATCGTTATGGGCTCAGGTTATTAAGGCTCGGTATTTTCCCCATTGCTCGATATGGGACGCGAAGAAGGGTGGTCGGGCGTCTTGGGCATGGAGTAGCCTTCTTTGTGGTAGGGACTTGATCAGGGAGGGTTCTCATTGGCAGATTATGGGGGGTCAGGAGGTTCGGGTGTGGCAGGACAGATGGCTGTTGTCCTTGCCCCTTGGACATCAGGAGCCGATTGGTCCGGTTGCGGTTACTCCTGGCTTACGTGTTAGTGCACTTATTTGCCCGGAGTCGGGGCGGTGGAACCTTGGCTTTTTGCAGCCTATCATTTCGGGGGAGGATATGCAGGCTATTGAGGAGACGCCTCTGGGGGATTTAAGTCGTAAAGATCGGCTTGTCTGGGAGTTTAATAAGAACGGGTGTTACTCGGTCAAGTCGGGGTATAGATGGTTGCAAGATAGATCGCTAGAGTTGAGAGATACTCGTCGGCCTTCTGTTCGCGGGGTCCCCAGGAATTTATGGAAAGGTATTTGGAAGTTGGAGGTGCCTCCCAAGTTGCGGCATTTTTTGTGGCTTACTGTGCATGGTTGTCTTCCTACTCGGGATGCTCTCTTTCGCCGGAGATCCTCTCAGACCTCCACCTGTCCTATTTGTTGCTGCCACGATGAGACCACAGAGCATTTGTTCCTATCCTGTTCATGGGTGGAACCCATATGGTTTGGAGGGGCGTTGGGTTATAAAGTGGATCGGCTTTCTCTCCCAGATTGGGTGGACTGGATTCAGGCAGTCTTCTCTCCGAACATGTGCACCACGGGGGATACGAATTGGAGGCGTTCTTACATTGTGTTTACGTGTTGGTGTATTTGGAAGGCCCGCTGTGATTTTGTGTTTAATGGGGTGCCCTTATGTCCTCCAAAAGTGTTGGCTGCGATCTCTGTGGCGGTGAGCTCTTTCTTTGGTGCAAAGGCAGCGGTAGGGTGTAGAAATGTGGGCGATGGGAGGAAGGATAATCAGGCCATGCGGTGGTGTGCTCCGAACAATCCTTTTGTGAAGATCAACGTGGATGCTAGCTGGTCCAAGGCCTCAAAATTGGGTTTTGTATCAGGGCTCCTTCGGCGGCTGCTGCGGAGGCCACTGCGTTGATGCATGGATGCCAGTTAGGTGCGGCTTTGGGAATCAGGTATGTCATATTGGAATCTGACTCCCTGGAAGCTATAAAATGTCTCTCTAGTTCGCTGTCTGTGGGTAGTTGGGAGGCCTTTCCCGTGTTGGCTCGGGTTAAGCAGCTGGAGAGGGATTTTCTTGACTGCCGATGGTCATGGGTGCCCAGATTAGCTAATTGTGTGGCGCATGAGTTAGCGTCTTTTGATTTTCCGGAGATGTGTGATGTTGTTTGGGTCGAAAGGCCTCCATCTTCGTTGGTCTTTGTTTTGAACAATGATGGGCTACCTTGTCCTCACTAATTTGGGTGTGGTGGTGATGGGGATGACGCCTCTACTTGGTGGGGGGGGTCGTTGTGGTATCTCCATTATCACTGTTTGGCTTTGTTCTGCTGCTTGCCTCTTATAGGCTTCTATATAATCGTTTCGTTGGGTTTCAAAAAAAAAAAAAAAAAAAACTATATTTTTACTTTTCCTTGTTACTATTCATTATATCTTTATTTGTCATTTTACATTAAAATTAAAGTTATTTTAGATTTTTCATTAGTGATTTATTCTTTTTATAGAGTTTTAACAAAATACCCTATTTACTTTTAACAAAAAATCATATTTTTACTTTTTTCTTGTACTATTCACCATACTTTTATTTATTTACTTTCATTAAAACTAAAGTTTTTTAAGATTTTTCGTTAGTTTTTTTTTTTTTCATAAGTGTTTCTCCCCATTCGGCATGAATTTCAATTTGGGCTGGCCCAGCCCAAGAAAGGATACTGGACTAGAGGCCCTGTGGTTTTATTTTTGCTGCAGCCCAACTCTGAGTTATGGCCCAGCCCATGAACGTACATGCTAAATTTATACACATTGTTGAATCAGCCATGAAGGATCTACGGAGGACTCTATTTGTAATTTATTTAGTATTTCAAAAAATGTATATATAAAATACTTGAGTGATAAATTAATTATAATTTTTTATATTTATTTATAGTTGTATAATTTGAGCAAAGACTAGTGATAAGGTATTAAGGTGTTCAAGTTCGGTTGAGATGATATTACTCATCCTTAAGCTAAGCTCAAGTTCGAAATATTATGTTCAAGCTTGACTCGAGTAACAATTTTTCAAGTTTGAATTCGGTTCGTTTGTAAATCAAATTTGAAATTTTATTCAGCACGACTTAGTAAAAAGTGAAATATGTTAAAATAAACTAAAAAAAACATAAT